TAAAATTTTAACTTGCCCTAGGAGAGATTAAAATTTTAACTTGTCCTGGGGGAAATTAAAATTTTATTTTCCTCTATAGGGTAATTTTAAAGTCACCTGAATTATAATTTCGCCTACAACAACTTTAGACGAATCAATAATGAATATTATGCAAGCACATAAAATAATAAAACCAACAGAAACATTATATACTAACTCGAAAAAGCATAGTTAATTCATAAGCGGAGGGTGTGCTTACAAATGATGAAATAATTCAAAACAGTCAGTAGGTTTTCTTCGATGATTGTTGGAATCGAATGAGTGGAATGTACAGAAGAGGAGTTTGCTATTGAAATAAAATCGTGTTAAAATTGTCGGATTTTTTTTCTGAGTGGGTGACTGACTGATTTTTATAAATGTTTGTTTTGATGGTAATGAAAGTGAAAGTGAATATTATTATAGTTTGATTTATTAAAAATCTGAATATATTAATCCACAGAGCTCATCAAATTGTATTCAGAACAAGAATAAGAGTTTTTGAAAATGTCCCTAGGCGAATTGTACATGGTATTATTCGCATTGCTGCTTGCTTCAACACATTATATGCACGTGTTTCTTCTTATAACGAACCGAGAATGAAAGGTAAACCCAAAACTACATTATGCAGCAGGATGAAAAAACAAAACATACACGAAAGACATTTATTCATAGCGATCTCATTGCCAAGTAGGAGGGGAGGGGAGGGGGCATTTACCATTTACATCACAATAAATATAAATTATGAGAAATTTATATCTATTATAAATGTAAATTATTTTGGTCCAAAATTTATATTTACAAATAAATGTAAATTATTATAATTTACATTTACGAGTCAGTGTAATTTTGAACATTTACATTTATACGTAAATGTAAATTTTCATGTTTACATTTATTCGTAAATGTAAATTTTGCAAAAAAATAATTTACATTTATAACAAACGTAAATTAGTCGTCATTTATTTTACGCATAAATTAAATGAAAGGTAAATGTAAATCGACACCCCTATTGCCAAGTGTATGAAATCACGGTTGGTTGATCAAGGTGAATAAACATTAACTAGGAAGAAACCCAGTAACCGCATTGAATATAAATACTCAAGGTAATTTGCTATCAACATACATCAAAACAAATTCAATACATTCCAGTAGTAATTCTCATCGTGAGTATATTTTCAAATATCCATATATGAGCAAAATCAGAAAAAAACAGGGCATATACTGCTTTCACTTGATGTGATATTTCGATATCTTATTCTATCAGATATCATTATTAGACAGATGAAAGGCGACTATCACTTACAGCTAAATTTTTGACCAGATAATGAGATATACGTAGCCTTATAGAGGAAGACTTCCTCTATCTAATGGTGTATGTATTATTAAATTCTGTTGCGTACCAAAATTTTCGATAGATGGCGCCACATCCGCTGTATATTATATAGTAGACGCAGCGAATGTGGCGCCATCTATCGAAAATTTTGGTACGCAACAGAACTTTATAATACATACATCATTAGATAGAGGGAGTCTTCCTCTATAAGGCTACGTATATCTCATTACCTGGTCAAAAGGTTATAGTCGCCTTTAGTATTATGTATACTTCATTTGATTTTTAATAAAAGAAAATACTTGAAAATCAGACTTTCTCATTCAATAATAATCAATCGTTAATGAGACCCCATTTTTTTCGATTATATGCTACAAGTGGGAAAAAAACCACGTGAATCGTTGACGTAATGCACCTTTTGATGATAATATGAATAATTACGTCTAGCCATCTCTTATGCTGTTTGAGTGACACAAGACAGAATAAGCAAAAGAAAGGTAATTTATTCACAAAACGAATGCAATATATGATTGAGACAGTGTGGGAAGTTATATCATGTAATGTCTGCGTGATCAAAAAAAAATAATAATAAGGACATTTCTCAAACATCTATATAAGCAACATCATATTTTATACTTTCACGGAGAGCACAATATTGCCACATTGCATTATTATTCTATTCGCACCACATATTTTTTCGCACGACTACAGCAAGTAAGTTTATTTCCTTTGGAATTATAATCTCGTCATAAGGCTGTAGTACTGAAGGGAGTATCAACCATAGTTTTCTGTTCTCAAGTAGTATTAGTTGTCGTTTTTGTTTCCATATTTTCATCAGTGAGTTTATAATTATTAATATAATTATCTTGAAATGACGATCGTCTTTCCAATTATTGATTGTAGTGTTATTGAAAGTTTTTTTTTGTTTGAAAATTAGAAACAGATATCATTCGATTTTTATACATTCAGAAGTGATCGACCAATGAAGTTTTGGGTGTTATAAATGTAATTTTTCTCTATAAGTAGAACATATGGTAACAGAGTTATTTTCTTGAAGGAAGTATGGTTGTGAATGAACAAATGGATAAATAATATCTACTGCTTTAATCATTCCTAGTTGTAAACAGTAAAGTTAAGGCATTAATATGGAGTATGAGTATGACGTAACGATTATTTTTCGTGAGGTTTTCATTACTTACAAAGGCACTCTTAAAAATTAGGGATTTGTGGCAACACCACCAAATCTTGATTGTATCAATCCTACAGGATGAGTTTTGTATTTTGAAACATCTATATCAATAGTCACCATTAGATTATTATAAACTCTAACTAGTAGTAACTTGTTTTCACTCAATCTAGTGACGTTGCTACTAAAGTAACCATATGTCATGATGTTGTTCGCCATGTATATGTTAACATAAACTGTCTATCATTCCTTTTCTTATCTTACATTTTGAACTGGCCTAAATTCTTTTAGGATGGAGGGTTAGCGATGATCGCATCACCTTACTTGTTCATCAATGACAGCGGCAGAGATTATGGGAAGAGAGATCTAGTCTAAGAGGAATACTAGTGAAGTACAACGATTTCATGCTCAAATACAAGACAAAGTCATTCAAGCTTAACATAAGCAAACTTTCTTTGACAAAGTCATGTCACAAGAAATTGCTTATATAACAAAGGCCCATAACAGGAAAGATTTCAGAGAAATTCTGCGAGAATATCAAATTTTTTTTTTATTAGACCTGTCGTCAGTAAATAATTTATTGTTTCCTCTTTTTTAAAGATGAATTCGTGTTTCTGTTTTATGATTCAAAACTAAGCGAATGCCGGAATAATGGAAGATATTTCATCATCGGTTTACAAAGCATTCTGCCAAATCAGAGTCTGTTTTTGTGTGCTCAAAAAGTGAGTACACTTCTAGAATCGGTCAGTGTGTCCGGCCGTCCGGCCGTCCGTCCGTCCGTCCGTTTACACGATAACTTTTGAAAGGAGAGTCCGATCGCAATGAAATTTTCTACACAGTTCAGTCTTAACAATATCTCAGTCAAGTTCGAAGATGAGAAGGATTGGCCGAGCCGTTCCTGAGTTATTGCAAAAATACTAATTTTTCCCTATACATTCCCTATGGAAAGATCGACCCATTCCCTCTTTCGTAAACAACTTTTCCTATCATAGTCAACTAAAACCCCAACTATTATATACCATTCGATAGAGAATTTCAAGAGCTACAAAATGGTATATAAAACATAAAGAAACAAGAAGATTGACTCACCTATCACAAAGATAATTAAAGAGAACTAGGTTATGTTTTTGTCCACGATCTAATTGATCCACGTTTAGAGCTCTATCTTCGGATCACAGTGATGATGCTTCGAGGTTTTCTGGTATGGAGAACTCGAGTCTGTGCTCCATTCGCCTCAAAATGTCATTGGTTGAATAGTAGCCAATAGAAATCAAGTTATAGGAAAAACGACTTTCTTAGGGTAAATCAAGGTGAAGAGTTCAAATCTGAGCTGCATTCGGTCCCAAGTCCTATTGGTTTGGCAATACCCAATAGAAATCAACAGTTTAGAGGGTAGGTTTCCCAGTATAATTTTGATGTCCAAACATTCTAGTATGGCTGACTCGTCTGATTCACTTTTTGAAGTACACATAACTCTCGGATTTAAATCCGAAGTTTCCGCATTTATTTGTTATTTGTTGTAGAAAATCTGAACGTTGTCAAACAGTGGTCCAAGAATACCAGAGAGCGAAGAAACTATAACTGCAACTTGGATACCACGTGAATCAAGAAAAAAAATGGCAAACAGTGTTCCAAGAGGAGAGGCAAGCAAGCGCTCTATGGAGGATCCTTGGACGCCAGGTGAATCAGGAAAAAAATTAGCCATACTTTTTGGCAACAATAAATACAGAGGTGAGATATATAAGACATGTGGAACAGCGTATGACTTGCTGAGCAGGCTTAGGTTATATTCCCATCCACGTATACTCTATTGGTACGAAGTGATGCCCGCTTCTTCTTGTTTCATATGACATATTACAAGTAGTTCGCAGCATGACAAAAGAACAACAACAATATTAGAGATCAACGTCTAATTGTGTTAAACCGTTCTGAAAATTCGGAAGACAGATAATAAACAGCGGTGATACCTCTGTTAAGAAGTCTTGACCATTAGCTATTCACTATGTGCTCTGTTGTACTTGAGAATGTACCAAAAGATCGGATCAGAGCGATTAAAGGACCCTGTCGAATAAGGTGAACTATTCAGAAATAAAAAATAAATATATCATATTGTAGAGCTTTTTGAGGCGCATCAAATAGTATATAGTAAATCTTATTTTCATAAAACTTTGAAGGAATCCAATCCAATTTACTGATAGACGATTACACATTCACACCTGTTCATGCTCATATCCAGCTACATTCATATTCACAAGATGACCGGAGATGTTACATATATGCGGTTGTAGCCCATCAAAAGCTCTGCAAAATTCCATGCAATAAAAAATATTTTACAAACATTTTCACTTAACAATAAGAGCCACAATAAGCATTAACTTATCATACTTGAGTATGAGTGTAAATATGGATATGAAGCCGCCTATCAGTAAATTGTCTCTAATTCCTTTAAAGTTTTATGAAAATAAGATTTATTATATACCATTTGATGTGTTTCAAAAAGCTCTACAACATGATGCATTTATTTCTTATTTCTAAATAGGTCAACTTATGCAACAAGATTCTTTAATTGTTGTGATCCGATCTTTTGTTGTACACTAAATATGTTCGGTTCCACAGTCGCATGTGAGATTTTCATTTTCGATTTTTGTAAAAGATATATACAGCGGTCGTTCGATATACTGTTTCTGTTGACTTTCGCCCAAAGTTTGCCGAGTAGCGAGAAACCCGGTGGCGGCTGGGTTGGTGATAAGATCTTTCTTTGTTGGTTGACTGCTTGCACACAGTATCCATTATGTCTGCTCGGCTCAGATGCTGAAGAGAGGACTCAGGGTCGCCAAATAAAGTAGTATAGAAGTTTTTATTCGAATGAGAAGCAAACAACAAAGAACTTCGCTAATAGAAGCCTTAGAATTGCTTAATATGTTTGCGTTTTCCAGCTGTGACGCAGCTTTCCTCTTTCTACAGGGTGTCCCATTAATATATTGACGGTACAAAAATTCAATATCTGTCGTATTTCATTCAATGAGATTGATTTTTTTCCACAGTGATAGAGGATAGTCTAGATTTCTTTCCTTATGAAAATCATTAATAGATACTTTTGTGAACGAATACTTTTGGAATGAAATACTGAAATGTGAAGTTTTCGATTGTCGTAAATTTCATGCCCACTTGCCTACTATCAATCGATTTTGTTGAATTTAGA